CAAATTGAAAAACGTAGTAGAATAATACAATTCACTTAGAGTGAGGTTTGGCTTAACTTAACTAAACACTTTAGATGGTGAAATGACAGGGAGGACTGGCAGATTCGGATGCTCGGAAACGACCAAACTGCAGGTTCATTCAATGGCTATCATCATTTTTAGTCAATTATTACTTACCCCCTTACCGACCATTGAAAGTGCGTAAATGACCGAAATGATCGTAAATGACTAAACTACTAATTCGGTATTTTTTATTTCTGGCCAGCCTAAATTACTTTGGGCCTGTCAGATGTGCGTTTTGACTTTTCGATACCTTCAGCCGATGGTTATAACCAAGATGTGTACTTCTAAAGAATTGTTGCACCTTTTGTAGTGGGTTTATTGTACTGCAGTCCATGACTGATTCATCGCAATACTGTTAGGTCGTGTCCGTGTTTTGGCAGAAGAGTTTTGATTTTCGCCTGGATGGAGGTTGTCAGCCTAATTCTGTTTATAACCCCGACCAACAGCTAAAGACGTGCAAAATGTCGAAACGCGCCTGACAGGCTCAACACAGCGAGAATAGGCGGGCCAGAATGATCAGAAACGACCAAGCTGAAAATTCATTGTAAGGCTTTTTCATAATGGACTTTTGAAAATATGAGTCTATCCTCGATGTTTCAGCTGGACAAATTTTAGAAAACTAACAAGCTCTAAATAAACAATATGTCTATAAATAGTACAAGGATTTGATCAGGCGTTTAAACGATAAAATGTAATTACATTTCCGATCACTTGTTGTGACACGTTTGAGTGGAAAATTGTCTGCTCTAGGCACCGTCTAAATGAACCCGAATAGCCAATCTTGGAAGCTGACTTTTCTAAAGGAAAAACGTCACAGCAGACGTAAAAACGTAGCAGACTCATTTGAGTGACAATTTCTCTTTTTCTCCTGTGTTTAAAAGTCAGGAGTGAACATGTTCACGGTAACACGTTGATTAAAAATACGGAAATAAAATCCACTGGAAAAAAAATACTGAACGAAAATAAACCGGCGAACTGTGTGACCTCATCGGTGTAGTTATAGGACTCTGACTAATTTCCTCATTTTAAGAGACGAGCGGAAGGGCGATTAATAAATTTTGGCTTGTAGAGATGTCACTGCGTCAATAAGGACCGGATCAATCTCCCGACGTTTCCATGACGCGTTCTAATCACTCACTTCCATCTAAAAAGAGGGCTCCGAAGGAATTAGAATGAAAAAAGAAACATTTCCTATTCTATAGTTCACAAAGGCATTGTTAAACTAAAAATTTCCACGGTTTATCATTTGTGTTAACGCTTGTTACCGTTTATATTTCTTAGTTGGGTCGTTTTAGATCATTCTGGACTGCCAGCCTCTACCTACTTATGACCCTGATTAACCGCTAAACATGTCGCGTGTCTGACAGATCAAAACAGCTAGTATTATCAAGTAAATCTGGAAAATTCTTCACATTCATGTTTGTACATTTTGAAATATTAGAACAATATAATTCACTTGGAGATTTACCTTGCCTCACCCTGCTTATCCCCGAAGTGTCTAAATGGCAGAACGCATTGATCGTAAACGACCTAACTAAAGGTCCATAACTTCTCAGATATCAATAAGTAATCTCAACACTTCACAAAGAAAATATAGTTAAAGTAGTGAACCGTAAAGTAATAAATCACAAAAATTCAAAATGAAATCTTTCTTATTTTGTCTTTCTGGTCAGCCTGCCTTAGCTGTTTTTGGTCCTGTCAGATACCTGTTTCAACATTTTGCTATTTAACAGCGGTTGGCTAGGTTTATAAGCAGGGTGAGGCAAGGTACGAAATTCCTTTTGGATAAAGTTAGGTTATAAGCAGGGTGAGAAAATACATAAACGTTGTTCTAGACTAAACGCGTCTGACGGACAAAATCAGCGAGAGAAGCAGAACAGGTTCACGTTTCGCTATCTTCAGCGGTTGGTCAGGGTTATAAACAGGTTGAGGCAACTCAGAAACCTCCACAATGACATTCCTTTCAGATGATATCTCTGTATTGGTTTGGTATTTCGGTATTTCAACATATCCCTAGTGTAGTCCAGACAGCTATATGACAATACTGTCTGGTAGTCTCTGATCATCCTGGTCTGTCTATACTAATTGGTCTGTTATGTCTGATGCATTTCTGTATCTTCAGCGTGATATAAGCTAAATTGACAATAAGCTGTGTCGGTCTATTAAACACGTTTCGACATTTCCCATCTTCAGGGTTGGTTAGGGTTACAAGCAGGGCGAGGTAAGACACTTTCTTTCAGATGAAATCTGTGTTTGTCTGGCAAAAGCCATATAGGTTCACTATTTCAGCATTTTTAGTAGTGGGTTTGTTCTACTGCAGTCAATGTTTGGTATATGACAATGGTTTGGCTCCGATCATCTTCTTCTGTCTATACTAGCTGGTCTGGTATGTCTGTTGCACTTCGTTATATTCAAGGTGAGATTAGACCAACTGACAAGTTGTGTTGGTTAGTAGGCGTTTCGACATTTCACCTTCAGTAGTGGGTTCGTTGTCCTATACTCCTCCATAAATGGCCGTCTCCGAATATTCTGGTTTGCCATTCCTTGTTGGTTTTGATTGTTTTTCCCTGGAAGGGAATTTGTGTCTCGTCCGGCTTATAACCCTGACTAAAATACTAAAGGCAAAAACGGCTTACACTAGCTGTTTTGGTCTTCTAGACATGCTTTGACTGAATGTAGATGTCTTGCCTCAACCTGCTTATTACCCGAGAGCCACTGGGCATAGTAAATTGTCAAGACGTTTCTGGCAGAAAAAAAACAGTGAGACCACAATGGTCGGATCACCCTGTAGATCTCAAAAAGACAATTTTCATTGCTTATACAATTTTATACAATGCAATTCTTTCTTCTAAGTTTTGTATAATGCGAGAATATGAATATAGGACAGTGTGATGTTTCAAGGCATCAAACCACAAATAAAATAACAAGTATAATAATAGAAATACGCCTTTCTCGCCCTATGTAAGTGACCCAAAGTGCCGCTCAGTTTTATCGGGGAAATAATTTCAGTGAAACTCGGGAAAGTGCCGTCTCAATTCCCAGAATAGTTTTCGCCTTTTTCCATGTACGTTTCTTCCATTCTCATCAATTACGGAATTTCGGGACGGTATGCCCGGCGCGTGCCACTCGCGCTAATTATTGGCACGCCAAGGCGGCTGTGTGTAAGTTGCATGCGAACAGAACCCCAACGTTAAGTCTTACATCATTTCATTTTTTTCCTAGTTCACTTGATAATCTGTTTTCCCATTACCTGTTTTAAACGTTTGCCCTGTGACTATTGGGTTTTTGGAACAGTCGTGATCATTAGTCCGACAGCTCCAGAAAGACCATTGACGCACGCAAATCTCATCCACGTATATTTATCGTGATAATTTTATGGTAAAATAGTCACAAAAGGAGTTTTAAAAGGTCTACACGATCAGCAGCAAATAACCTGAAAAGCTGAAGATCTCTGAGGTCACTACGGAAATACAAAGATCTGCAGCCAACCAAACACCAATCTCGACTCAACCAGGACGAGAATGTGGAAGCGACTGACCTACGCGAAAGAACAGGTAAGAAGGTTGAAAAGAACAAAGCCATATGGACTAGTGTGTTCATTAGTATGAGAGGTGAGAGGTTAATGAGAAATATAGCGTTACATCCAACAGTGAGTGTGTGTGTGTGTGTGTGTGTGTGTGTGTGTGTGTGTGTGTGTGTGTGTGTGTGTGTAATCTAAGGTGGGATAAAAGTACCCCATCGACTCAATTTAGATTGGATTATTAATATTGGGTGTAGGTCGATGGAGGAATATCGAGTACTCCACCGACTAATGAGAATGAGTGCAATGAATACCGATATGAATATTTGTATTTGTGTGACTGTATTATAGGAAGCTAGTTGGTTTTAGGTTATTGTGGTTTGTTTTTTGGATGTGTTGGGGGCTGAAAGATCTAGATGTCGAAAGCCCCGGAGCCTAACCCCACTGGTTGGGGAGCGATGATCTACTGGGCACCTGGCTTAAGCATGGTACCGACCCAACCGCAAAACGGGGTAGGTGAATCTCCTAGGCACATCGGTCCGTATGAATTAATTTTGTGAATAGTGAAGTGCGAATCTTACAAGAATGTAAACATTTATTAATTGCATATATTAATATTAAATTAATGGTTGGTCTTGCAAGACCAGTTTTAAATAAATAAAAGGAGAAGAATATAGCTATAAGCAGGGTACTTTCGATGTACAATCGGTTGGAATGTTCACTCGAAGACAGGACTAGAACAATCTTCCTTTTCTCACGAAGCAACAGAGGAAATCAAATGTCAGCTAGCTTTAAATTTAATAAATTTTAAAAATACGGTTTTACCACGGACCTGTCTAGTGACAGTCAAAATATGCCAATTCTAGCTGCATCCCTGAAAACTATTTCCACACATTTACCCCACGTAAACAATAGCATCGTGACACTTGATGCTGTAGTCGCATAGTCTTCTGAAATTATATATTTAAATTTTTTAAAAATCTGCAGGATACAATTTTTCCAGCGGTTTTTTAATTAAGGGGAAAACCTGCAGATATAACGATCATTTGGAGTGGAATGTTTTCAGTCTTATCAGATCCATCCTGATTTGTTTTTCTATTCTTTACATTAAGACAGTTGTTATGGTATGGCTGAGAAATTGTGATTGTTTCTAAAATAAAAATTGTTGGTTCAGCGTTTATTATCTAGAGTGAAATTTAAGAGGATTCGCATCAAACCGATTCACCTCGTGTTAATCATTAAGGTCGAATTAAATCGAGAGGATGTCGAAGCGGAATAATCAATTGCTATTTAATTAGGGCTTTTGATATAAACCGGTGTTTGACAGTATGGAGTGTCAAACCGTGCCAAGAGGTGAGATATGACCAGGACGTCAATACAAGGCAATTTATCCAATATATAATAAATATTTGCGTACCTATGGTTTTGATAATATCCAAATCGTCGATCGTGCGGTGAACGGCCGAGTCCATGTATGTCGGGATGAGGGGGATTTAAGACTGGTTTTCTTCCGTCCGCCTATTCAGCCGGGGTCTCTCAACCCTCCACCACTCAGGCAGGCCCCCACTTTCTTCTGATCCTCTTCTCTATTCCACTTCAACTTCTAATTCTAACAAAGAGAAAGAGTTGCCTAGAGGAGCCGGCCCGCAACTCAAACGCGATCAATCTAGTAGGAAACTGCCTGGCGACGCTTCCGCTACTTTTTTTCTTTGCATCAGCTGCTACGGACGGTTATTGACTCTTGCGGGTTATTCTTGAAAAATTCGCGTTTCTAATCTTTTTTAAAATAAAAAAATGCAAAGATCGAATTCGATTATAATTAATACAGGTCTCTAGGGGCAGTTAGAGCCGACTGGTGATATCTGATTCAGACGTGCCAAAACTCGCTCACACCGGTGAGCGAACCCGGCCGATTTTTTTGACCATGCAGCAGATTTAAACCTATTTATCCATAGAAATTAATAAACATCAACAGTCGAAGTTTGATATTTCCTGTTATTAAATGACACTACTCAGGAAACTCATGGTGTATCATCCGTCAGGTTCATGAGTGGTTATCATTTTTTTTATTTATTGAAAGTAAAATGTTTGTACAAATTCCGCCAGAGAAAGTACGGATAAATTCTTTACACAGGTTACTGTTGACCTAAGTCTCCATTTCTTCCACTATGACCTAAATTGGCCCTTCTTTATTTCTGAGCCTCGAAATTTGCACAACCCTCTATTTTTTTTAGCCGATTTCGGGGTTCAGGAAAAGTAGGAATGAATTCTTTATACATTTTTCTGGGGTTTACTGGTGACTTAAGCCTACATTTTTTCCACTGCGACCTAAGTTGACTCTTCTGTATTTCCCAGCCTCGAAATGTGCACGACCCGCTAGTTTTTTTTATATTATTTTTATTGTAGCCGATTTCGGGGTTCAGGAAAAGTAGGAATAAATTCTTTATACATTTTTTTCTGGGGTTTACTGGTGACTTAAGCCTACTTTGTTCTATTGCGATCTAAGTCGACTCTTCTGTATTTCCCAGCCTCGAAATGTGCATAACCCGCCCGTTATTTTTATATTATTTTTGTTTTAGCCAATTTCGGGGTTCAGGAAAAGTAGGAATGAATTCTTTATGCATTTTTTTCTGGGGTTTACTGGTGACTTAAGCCTACATTTTTTTACTGCGACCTAAGTTGACTCTTCTGTATTTCCCAGGCTTGAAATGTGCATAACCAGCTAGTTTTTTTTATTTTAGCCGATTTCGGGGTTTAGGAAAAGTAGGAATGAATTCTTTATACATTTTTTTCTGGGGTTTACTGGTGACTTAAGCCTACATTTTTTCCACTGCGACCTAAGTTGATTCTTCTGCATTTCCTTGCCTCGAAATGTGCATAACCCGCTAGTTTTTAGTATTATTATTTTTTTGTTAAGCTGATTTCGGGGTTCAGGAAAAGTAGGAATGAATTCTTTTCACACTTTTTTCTGGGGTTTACTGGTGACCAAGCCTACATTTTTTCTACTGTAACCTAAGTTCATTCTTCTTTATTTCCGAGCCTCGAAATGTGCACAACCCATTAGATTTTTTAACAATTGTCGGGCTTCACGAAAATCAGGAATGAATTCTTTACACACATTTTTTTTTCTTAGGGTTACTGTTGACCAGCGTCTCTATTTCTTCCGCCCCGACCATGTTGACCTTTGTTTATTTCGAAGCCTCGAATGTGCACAACCCACTAGTGTTTTAGCACTTGTAGGGACTCACGAAAAGTATGAATGAATTCTTTACACACATTTTTTTCTATGTGTTACCAAAGTCTTCATTTTTTCCACTCCGTCCTATGTTGACCCTTTTCTATTTCCGAGCCTTCAAATGTGCAAAACACACTTTTAGCACTTTTCCTCTTCAATGATATTTTTAAGCGTTAAATTCGCCATTCCGCATTGTAACCGCAGGTAACCATTGTACCATGTCTGTGCTCCTTCATGACACAGTCGCAGGGTTAATTTGTATTATGTTTTCTTTATGGGTATTTTTAAATCTACTTTTAAGTTTTTTTATTTTCTTGTCAACAGTAATTTGTCTTTTATCAGCTATAACAATAATGAGCCTCATCATTGATATAACTAACAAGGGGACGACTAGGTTGGGGGGGTCACGGATTTGGACCTAACTTTTTTGGTGGTTCTACACTCCAAAATATCGGACATGTTACAATCTCTTTAGTCTTTTTTGATTATAGCCGTTTCAATCAGATTTTCCGATAAAAACTTCTCAAAGAAAAGGAAAAGTTGTTGATGATAAAAAATCTATAAATTTAAATTCGAACAAAAATTTATATCTATTATTATTCAGAAATCGTGAGATGCGGTCTGGTGTGATGTAGGTTTCAGAAAAACATTTTCTTTATCGTGCCAACGTTTCGATCTTTATTGAGATCATCTTCAGGGCCTGGGATTTATAAACATTGTTTACATTTAACAAATACATTTAGGATGTGGACAAGTGAATTTACACAATGCAAAATATATTTTTTTATTCAATCAAAGTATTTCTACTCACTCAAAGTGTTTGTCTTCTGTGTAATTGTGCCATTCTTGCGTGTCGTGTTGAGAATGCCAGTGAGATTTTGCTACTTTGTGTTTATTTACGTTGGATTTTGAAGGGTTGGGGAAGGAAGTCGGTATAGAAAAGACATTTTTGTATAAGGCGTCGGCTTCTTTGAGGTGAAAAGAGCCGACGAAGGGTAACAATGTGTTGGTAATGATTCGGCCAGATTATCCTTTCAGGATTATATAGAAAGGGATAAATAGGAAAAGGGAATTAGAGTATGTAAAAAAATTTGATGTGTGGAATGTAATGTAATGATATATGTATGTTATATACAGAATTTGATTAATGTTATTGGCGTAGCTGCGACTGAGTTTACATGTATCTGTTCTGTAATTGATGCTGTGTTTATCTCTGTTGATATAAACCATTTCTAAGAAATTACGTTTATGTTTGTTTTGTTCTGTATGTAATATTTTTGGATTTTTGAAGTCGAAATTGTGTTTGTTGTTATTCGTGTGGGATCTTTAATTTTGGAAAAAAGTGTTTGGATTGTTTTGTAATTTTTGAAAGCTATTTTGAAGTTATCGGATGATAGAAATGTATTTAATTTATGTGATAGGCCTTGAATAAATGGCATGGAAATGTATGCTGGTTTGTTTGTATTTGATAGACTTAATGTAGTATTATTAGTAATAGCGGATGGTGTTAGTGTTGAGTTGTAGTTGTTGATTATTCTGTTAATTATGTGTTTAGGGTAGAGATTCTTATGGAGGATCTGTTTGTATATTCTTATGTTTTGTGGTGGAAAGATTGCTTTAGGTAATCATTCTGTGAAGTAACCCTTTGGCCGTGTTTATTATTGTATGAAGAGGATGGTGAGATGTATAGTTGAGGTAGCGATCTGTGTTTTTTTATTTTTGATACCAATCTGTGATTAATGTACCATCTGGTTGTTTTATTACGAGTGTATCTAAAAATGGTATTTTTTTTGTTTTCGATTTCATGTATAAATTGTATGCGTGGGTTAAAGCGATTTCTGAATAATTATCGATTATCACTAATCAACACACATTTATATCTATTGTATATAGAAATAATAGTTGTGTACAGCTAATTTATATTAAGAGTGAATTATTTATTAACGTGAATGAGTTATGTGAGAGGGTCGGTGGAGGTATATCGAGGACCCCATCGACCCTCAACAGGCTAGTTGTATAATAGGTAATGGGGGAATATGGAATACTCACCACCCCAATTGAGTGAAACACCATGAAAGAATTTATGGATGAGAGTCCATGAGGGAATAGGTTTGGTTCTAGGAACTGCATGAGTTGGGACCTGAATTGGCCTAGCTGTTGACAGTACCCAGAAACCATAGGTGGCTGGACGGATACTACCGAGATCTGACCCCGTACTGCCAATACCTGGGGTGGGTGATTCTCGAGGCCTGCTTACAACTGTAAAAAAATAGATAGGTATATACAATACTACCTCGGTAGCTGTCATTTTAAGTCTACTGAATGTAACCTCGTCTGCCCTAGTGAAATATCTACAATTGTAAAACCCCGCAAGAAAAATAAATCCCCTGGCCTTGACCATTTCGGAATACACTTCTTAAAAACCTTCCCAAAAAAGCTGAACGACAAATATATTCAAAAAGTAATTATTCTTGGTCACTATCCTTATCACTGGAAATCCTCTCCAGTTATCCTCATTTTAATAGCTTGTTAACAAGGCTCACCCGCACAGGTGCCTTCCTGCATGAAAAAAGCATCATTATGCCGATGCAGTTTAGTTTCAGGCCAGGACATCTACCACTGCCCAATTAGCCAAGAAAGTCGATGACATTGAGCCTTGATATCAAAAAGGCCTTTATCACTGTTTGGCATATTGGTATAGTAAGAAGGATGATAAACTAAACCTTCCCTCCCTACACACTAAAAATTTTCCACTCCTTTAAAATCAATCATAATGAAACGGAGGCAATAGTTTTTACCAACCATAGACCGTTGCTGCATAAAAGATCCAAACTGAAACTGGTCTGAGTTGACCAAATAGCTTGGGGTGATATTGGAACAATAAACACACTTTTATTCACCATGTTAATGATAAAGTGAACAAGAGCAAAGCGGCTATCCGCGCACTTTTCCCTCTGCTTTGTCCGTCCAGTCAGTTGCCGGCCAATAAAATTCTCCTGTTCAAGGTGGCGGTCAGGCCGAACGAAGCATGCAGGACTAATGTACAAATCTCTTCTGAAATTGAACATGAAATCTCCAAGGTGAACACTTAATATATGGCCCTGTGAAGTTAGAGCTAAAAGATTAGTTGATTGAACTTATGACCAATGGGATCGCGCGGATTGAGGAAGATACTGTTCAACTTCTGTAATAACTGCGGATAATATGATTGTGCTACAACACGAAGATTTTTTACCTGGTTCATTTGGCCTTTTCCTCATGTCTATTTTTTTTCCTCGTGTAAGAAATATGATAAACGCACATACGATTGTATTTGTATGGGGAAAAATACGTTTTTCCGAGACGCTCGGCAGGTGCTGAGTTTCATCATGCCCCGGGACTTTTTTGTTAGAGATGGTCTATGGCGTTTTTGTGACCTGAGATAGAGAATAGGACCTTTGAGGTAAACGCTTCGTTAAAATCATCTGTGCTTTCTACTCTTTGTATATTCCCTTTTCAACATAAATCCAACATAAATTATTTAAATAATTTACCACTGACAGTTTTATTCTTGATTTAACCATATAAATCTTAAAATCATATTGATTATTAGTAGAAGTACTAATGCTAT